TGATCTTCTTTTTTCCATCCATTGCTCTCAACAGACACCCTCCACAGAACCCTTCCTCGGTGAGGGTTTAGTTCAACCATCATACTTCTTCAAGGTGATGTCCATGCTGCCCACAACCGACTCTTCTGGAAGAGCCTGGTCAGCTCCATCAGGAACTGCTCGCTCTCCAGGAGCACCATCACAGTGCTGCTGGACCCTCCTGGTCAACATAAGTCTCCTGGTTTATTAGTCTTCTAATATATTGTAGGGGTTCCATTTACTAACATATTTTTGTATCTATATTCATGAGGGATCTTATTCTATAGTTTTTATGCTCTCTTTTTCTAGTTTTGAAATTATGAGATTTTATTAACTTTTATTTTCTTAAAAATAGAGCATAAGCAATCGTGCCAGTTACTTATTAAAAAATCTACAATTGATTTTCCATTGTCTAGTAGAATAAGTCCATCATATTGAAAGTAATCTACCTTGTCTCAAGTTTTTTAATGTATATTTACCTTACTTGGTAAATTTCCCTGCTCATCTCTCTTGCTGTGCACCTTCTTTTACCTGAATTTCCAGACCTGTCATACTCCTGATATTCTGATTGTGGTTTCCCAAGCAGTTATAAAATTCTAGTTTCTTCACTAGCCATTTTCCTGCTACGAGGAATATCCTATTATAAGTCCATTTGTTTTTATACCTTCTAATTTTTCTGAACTCAGTCCTTGTCGTCTCTTCATGATGTTCTTAAACTCCATATATTGTGATTATTTTTCTCTCATGCCTCTATTCTTCTCTATACCAATGCCTTTTGGAGCACTTATGCATTTACAACTGCCACCCCAATCCTTAGCCCCAACCCCCCACCCCACTCTATTGGTTAGTGAATACTTTAAGGGAAGATATTTGGTTTTAATTTCTAAGTACTTAACAAAAGCTGGTACACAAGTCATGTACATTATATATTTGCTAATTAAATGAATGAATAAATGTCTTATAGCTTCCAGTGTTGTCTGAGTTCACTGAAAGCTTTACATTGTTTGCTTACCATGAAGGTTTTATTTTAATACTTATTTTTTTAATTGTAGTTGGATACAATGACTTTATTTATTTATTTTTACGTGGTGCTGAGGATCAAAACAGGGTCTTGCACATGCTAGGTGAGCACTCTACCACTGAGCCACAACCTCAGCCCTACCCTGGTGTTTTGCAAATATTTTTTTTTTTTGTTGCTAACAATTTAAGTCTTTGATGATTCAGATATTACTACCTGAATAGTTTCAATGTATAATTTTAAATATAGGTTTTAATAAAGGATTATGAATACAAGTTGGTAGAGTAAGTGTGATTTTTGAGAATCTTATAACTCTAGTTTCTAATTAAGACTACTTTCCCCTTCTTATTGGTACATTATAATTATTCATAACAGTGGGATCTGTGGTTATGTGTTAATACATGCATATACACATAACAAAATATAATTTGGTCTATTTAATTCTACAGTACCTTCCCTTTTTTTCTCCCTCTTTCCTCCCCCAACTCTTTTTCTATATACTACTCTTCTCTCTTCTATATTCATGAGGCCCTTCCCCACTCCCCCTTCTCTATCTTCCACATATGAGAACTAATATATGACTCTTAACTTTCTGAGTTTGCCTTATTTTACTTAGTATGATATTCTCCAGTTCTGTTTACCAGAAAATGATATAATTTCATTCTTCTTCATGACTGAATAAAACTCCATTGTGTGTCTATACCACATTTCTTTATCCATTCATTTGGTCATGAACACCTAAACTGATTCCATGATTTGGCTATTGTGAATTGTGCTGCTATAAACATGCTATAGTATGATTACTTTAATGTTTTAGGATAAATACTGAGGAGTGGTATATAGGGGTTAAATGGTGGTTTCATTCCTAGTCTTTTGAGGAAAACTCTATACTAATTTCCATTGTGATTGATTGAACTAATTTAGAATCCCACTAACAGCGTAAAATTATCCCCCTCCACATCCTCTCTAGCATTGTTATTTGTATTCTCCATGACTGCCATTGTAACTGGAGTGAGATGAAATCTCAGTGTAGTTTTGATTTGCATTTCCCCACTGGCTAAAGATGTTGAATAGCTTTCCATGTATTTGTTGATCATTTCATTTCTTACATTGAGCAATGTCTGTTTAATTCATTTGCCCATTTATTGACTGGGTTGCTTGGTTTTCTTAGTGGTAAGTTTTTCTCTTCACTTATTTTTTAATATGTTCTAGATATTAATCCTCTGTCAGAGAGTATTTAGTTAAGATTTCTGAAGCTTAATGAGTTTAAGATATATTAATGAGTATTATTGAATTATTTTGAATACTGCCCAAAACACATGAGATATCATATGTCAACCCTGATGAGGTTGTTAATGTCAACCAAAGTTTTGAATTTTTTGATGTTGAACATAATTTTTTATGTGGTAAATTGGAAATTCAGAATAACAGTTATAATCATTTTATAAATAATTAATATTTAATGATTACAACTTGGAACAAAAAATCTTTCAAATTGTGATGCACATGATAGTGAGAGGGAAGGGAATGGTTCCCTGAGTTTATCTAAAACACAGGTTGAGGATGAATAAAAAAAAATCCTCTGTGGGCTGGCAACTTATTTGCAAGTATGCTTTAAGCACTGTCTCATCTCATCATCCTCTATCCTCTAAAGGGTGGCAATGACCTTGGCATTGATCTAAGTGTTACAGTAGATCCAACCCTAGAAAGACAAATTCTTATTCCAAACAGTCAGGCGTTCCAGTCAAGTGGAGCCACTCTTGCAAGATCATAAAACACTTTAGAAAATTGAAAAAGAAAAGTCCTATACTTCCCCAAGAGGTGCTTTAAAATATTTTCTTTTTCCATCTTTGATGGCTATGGCTGTCCAAAATGTCTTGTGGCCAAAGACTTTAGCTTTGGCTGCAAGCAGCTTCAGTCCTGGGTCCATCCCAGATGACTCCACCCCTCTGGAACCCTTCAGCTATCCCCAACCCAGTCTGCGAGAAGCCCCTTCCCTACACATAACTAAGAAAAAGTCTATACTTAGCTGGCAGAACACTGGGCATGTATGAATATGTCTCCCACCCTTTTTAAATCTATATAAGTACCCTTCTCCTTCTTTTTAGTTTTTTTTTAATTGGTTGTTCACAATTCTCCTTCTTTTTAGTAGAACAGTCTATGTACTGCTTTCCTTTTTTCTTAATAAAACCTCTTTTGTATAATTTTATTTCACCTATTCATGATGTCTGTCTCTAGTACAGCAGGCTGAGCTGAGGACATTAAGAGCTGGTAAACTGAGGGTGGTGGGCACTGAAAGCAGCCAGAAGCCAGCAGCCAGGGGTGGTAACACTGTGGCTAGCCCCCACAGAACAGTGGAAAGCAAAGGTGAGCAATGGAGAGTCACCATGAGCTGCTAGCTCCACTGCTGGAAGAGTTCCAGAAAGCTCTTGGTAGCTACTGGCTCCCGCTGTATGGAAAACAGCAAGCAGGGCCATTAACACCAAGAACTCAAGGCTGCTAATACTCAAAGGTCAGAGCTGCTAATACTAAGGGAGCTGCTCTGGCCTATCCATAACTTCTTTCCAAATTGAATGAAAGAACTGATTGGTTACAAGAGGGCTATGTCAGAGGTTACTAGCACCAGAAAGAAAATTATTTTTATGATAATTTTTGTTATACTTTATGTTCCTATAATTATTTTTTTCTTGTTTGTCCTGAAAGTTTAGGATTGGGAAATGTCCCAATAACTAAGAAGTCTACTGAGTTGGTTTTCAGTGAGTTATTTGAGATTTTATAGTTAAATTGCTCAGAAGAGTAGGTCAAGTTCACAAACTAAATTTCTTAAAAAATTGCAAGCTTTCCTTGTAACTTCATGGTGAATCAGTGTGTTTTCTGTGAATTACTTTGACTTCCCAATGAGCTCTATTGAGAGAATTATATCCTTTAGCAGCTCAATTCACAAAGATGAATCAATGATTTTTTTTTCAAAAAACATCTGCCTTTTCTGTGTATAAGGCCAAAAGGATGGATACTCTGGCTGTTTCTCAGAAACTTATTTAAATTAGTATTATAGTCTTGCTTCAGGCTGATATAGAAAAGAGCCTGTATATAGTTTTATATAAATAAGGACATATTTGAATGGTGATCTTTTTGATACATTTATCCAAAATATGTAGATTATAAACAACTAGAAAATTAGAAAAGCTAGGCTATTTTTTTTCAGATGAAAAAAAGTCATAATGTTTCTATACCATTTATTGATTATAGTAAGAACAATTGAATCAGAGTTTGAGACAAAACTCAAAATCTCTGCTTCTGTTGGTAGGTAGGGGCTGTGCAAGTGGCAGACCTCTGCAGTGGGGAAAGCTCATTTTAGCAGCTAATCACAGTAGGAAATGCCTTCTGGCATCAGCTCTGAGGGTCACAGATGGCTAAACCTGATTCTTCTCTGCTACCATTGAGTGGTGTATTACAGCTCTAAATGTGGGACTATGCTTTTCAGTGTCGCAATAGACTCTAGCAGCTCACCACCAACTTCTTTCCAGGTTCTTGTCTTGCAAATCCAATGAATGAAATTCATGGGACAACAGAAGGCAAGAATGAGAGGAGTAGGATTTATTCAAGAGTGAAGAATAGAAAAATAACCCTTGTAGGGGAAAGAGGGGACTCCGTTAGCAGGTTACCACCTGAGTGTTCTAGTCTAGGGGTTTATATAGCACTTGGGGCAATGCTATTGGTTGGAGTTTATGCTAATCAATCTGGGTTTGGAAAAGTACTAATGCTATTGGTCCAAACTTATACTAATGAGGGTTTGGAAAGTACTAGCTATTAGTTAACCCTTGAATCTGAACTTCTATTCAAGTCTGACTCCTTTTTGTGGTGCTGGGGATTGAACCCAGGGCATTATGCATACGAGGCAAGCACTCTACCAACTCAGGTACATCCTCAGCCCCTGACCCACATTTATTATCTCATTGCTTACCTGCAATTCCAGGTTCCCAGGTGGTTAAGGTCAGCTTGAAAGTTTGGAGCGTGGTTGCTGAGTGGAGTAGGCATTTGTACCAGGCTTAGGTCTGGCTGACAAGGGTTCATAGGTCAGCATGCGCTGAATTGCTTCAGTCCTGGCTTGCCATGCCTCAGGCCCTGGACCACTGAGCTTCAGGCCCACACTGGTATGGTGGGCTCTGTATGACCGCATCTGGGATTCACTACTTGTGTTCTAGCCTGCTTCTGTTGCTGTTTCACTGTTCCACCACTGCTTCTCCAAGGGGATTAGTGGGCTGTCTGCACAGCTTGGCAATTGGGGAGCTATGTCACAATGACTAAGCAATCTCTGCCACAGAGACAGGCTTTCTTTCCCTCAGCATTTAACTTTGTTCTAGGGTCTGGTGCTCATCACAATGAGCATTAAAAAGTCAGAATTTTAAATTTGGGAATTTGATTTTCCAGAAGCTTATTAAGGCATGTTTGTCATGATAGAAGGAAAGATCCCACTCTATTTAATAGTTAGTCAGCTTGATTTAAAACTTTTAAATATTTAGATGTGTAGTATATGGGATTTCATTTGTACTCTTATTCCATGCCTTGCAAATATTAGAAATACGCCTGACCAAATGAGTCAATATAATAAAAATCTAGTATGATAGTAGTTAAATGAAGGTCAATGACATACAGTACAAAAGAATTTCTAATTCTAATTTAATAAGCCAGGCTAGTGAAAAGATCAGTGATTTAGAACTCCCATTAGTTATCTATTATTGCATAACAAATTATCATAAATTGGTAGCTGAAAATAGTAAATATTTATTTTCTCATAGTTTCTATGGATCAGGAATCCAGAAGCAGCTTAGCCACTTCTAGTTCAAGGTTTCTCATGAGACTGCAGTCAAGATGTCGGCTGGGACTGCAGGCAAGTTGGGTTTGACTGGGATTGATGGAGCTGAAAGATCTACTTTCGAGTTCACCCAGATGGTTGGAAGGTGCATAGACTTCTGCAGGCAGCCTAGGTGACCTAATGAGATGACAGAACTGTCTTCCTTCACATTAGGTGATCTGAGACAAAGTGCCCAAGATGGAAGCAGCAATTTTTTTAAAAACCTAATCTCAGATGTGATATACCACCATTTCTTCTGTATTACAGACCTCTTTCTGGTTCAGTGTGGAAGAGGACCAGACACAGGTAGAGTAACAAAGACAGGGATCACTGGGAGCCATCTTGGAGGCTGGCTACCACAGAACACTTTGCGGAATATTTCCAGCTCACAAACGTTTTGGTTCTCAAGATCATGAATTCGATCCCACGTCAGGACCTCTATCTCATGGTCTGCGCCTGGTGTGCTCTTTCTATTGATCTTGCTTGGCTGACCTTCTATGTTAGATCTCAGCTTAAATGTTACCACTTTAGAAAGACTGATACTGATCATGTAATAAAGAGTAATTTTCTATCCATTCTTTATGATATCACATTATTTTAATTTCAGGTGCCCAGCACATAAATATATGTTGAATCAATGAGTCTTAGTAGTTATGTGATCTTGGGGAAAAGCTCAGCTACCTGAGCATCAGTAGCATAATCTGTGATTAATGATCTCTTACCCTCTCTCACTATACATGCTTTTGTGAGAACCAAATAAAGTAGGATTTTCTATGACAATTGGTGAGATTTTTATTGTTGGTTGACTTTTCCCCTCTTTTTTTCCCCTCTGGGGCAGAGGAATGTATTTTCCTATTTTACTTTTCAAGTTCTCTTTATCCACCTGTATCATAAGACTGCTTTGTTCATTTTTTCATTTATCCATTCACTAGACTCATATTTACTGCTCTATGCATGTCTTAGAGGATTTATTTTGAATTAAAATTATAATTTCATGTGTGAAAAGTATTCAATTGGGACCAAATTTAGTAAGGCTACTTTCAAAATGTAAAATGACATGTGGTTTTGGATCATAACTAACCATAGCATCCATTGAATGTAGGAGATGGTATGTGTTTTTTAGAAGCCTGTTATGCACAAAGGAACAAAAACCCAAGAATCAAAGCAAACTTTTAATAATGCCCAATTGGAGTTCTGGTCATGTTTGAGCCATTCAGAGTCTAATCAGTAAAACCCCCTTGAGTCAATAATTGCCTTCTCCTGGAATCATTGCAGGTATCTATTATGCTGCACATTATCCACATAGAAATGAACATATGGTTATTGAACACATAACAAAACAGACTCTGTTGGAGAATGTTTCCTTTAGGATACCTTAAAACATTCTTGAGCAGAATATTATGTAGGCTACTTCCTATCCCTTCTGTTCCTGGGTTTATAGGAGGGAAGTTGCTAGTCTTTTGCATCAAGAACAGCAAATAAGCACCTTGTAAGAAGCAGAAAACCTCAGAATTTATTTACTTATTAAGAAGGAACTGTAAGTATCTTCCAAGATAAAAATGACAATAGATGTGGTTTCTATTCTTTTCTTTTTAAAAATATTTTTAGAGTAAGTTGTTAGTAGACCTTTATTTATTTATATGTGGTGCTGAGAATCGAACCCAGCGCCTCACACGTGTCAGGCAAGTGCGCTACCGCTGAGCCACAGCCCCAACCCTCTTTTTATTTATTTTTTAAAATATTTTTTAATTGTAGAGGGACACACAATATCTTTGTTTATTGATTTATTTTTTTTATGTATTTTATGTGGTGCTGAGGATAGAAACAGTTCCTCACCCATGCTAGGCAAGTACTCTGCCACTGAGCTACAGCCCCAGCCCCTAGATGGAGTTTCTTAAAAGTTGAGAATATATATATATATATTCTCCTTAGAGAGGAAGTGTTTAAAAGAGAGGGAACATAGTAGAGCAAAACCTATATGAACTTGAGCCTTGATAATTTTTGCTCTGAATTAAGTGGATTTTCCCAACTTATAGTAAATGCAAAAGAAATGATTGAAAGCATATAAAAGAAGTCATCTTATTTGAATCAAATAATTCAAATAATAATTTTTTAAATACCTGTGTTCAAAAATTTTTCTAGATTGATCAGAATGCTCATTTCCTAAGCATTTTTTAAAAATTGGGATATAAAACTAAGAAGTCATTTTTTTGTTTGTATGATAAATATATACATTCCAGTGTGTACAAACACATCCAGGTATATATATATATATATATATATATATATATTATGATGTTCAAAGGGTATTTCAGCCAGGACTCTAAATTGATAGATATTAGATTTAATATTAAAGAGATTGATGATATGATCATCTGGTAGGACTTAAAAAACAGGCTAAGACTCAGGTGATTCTTAAAGCCCCTTACATCTTGAAGATTTAAAAGAAATTTCAAGAGTAGAGATTGAATGTTTGGGGAGAACTGTTGATATTTTGTGTGTTCTCCTCCTCTCCCCCAGAAGGATGATTGTGGGGTATACCAGCCCCTCATCTTGGGGCTGATATGTATGTCCTGCAATTGGGGAACATGGTAGACTAGTGTCTGACTTCCATCTGAGGTTGGGAGGCAGCTGATAGCAGAGCTAAAACAAGGAGTTTGACTAACTTTAGTCCTGAGGTTGGTGGGGAGGGAAGATCCTTGTGTTTCCCATGAACTGAATGTAAACCATACATAAGGTGGACACACATGTATGCCTGTGTGCAGACACACTCACTTGTGGGGGGGAGAGATATGAAGATAGATAATTTTTTTTTCTTAGACTTTTACCAAGAGCAACTCATTGAGGAACCATTGGACCACAGCAGAGTGAAGCTGGGGATTCCTAGGGCTGAGAAGGAAGTCACACCCACCAGCAGAAAGAGAGATGAACCAATATTAAGGTGAGAGAACCACAATAATACAGGTGGAAGAGTAACCTTCAGTTTAGATTTTTGAAGGCCCAGAAAATCCAAAGCCAGCTTATGACAATAAATGATTAAGAAATATCCTCCCTTCTCACATAATAACCCATGAGGGAGCAGGAAGTAAGGTTAAGAAGGAAGAGTAGAAATGCTAGCTGGTGGAAGAAAGAGGAAATCAATCATATCCTCCTTCTCAAATAGAGTAGCCCTATCTAATTCATCTTTGAGCAGAATCTACACACTGCAAGAGAGACACTTGACCTTCACATCTCAAGAATGCAGTTTTGATTATTATTAGAGATTTGAGCCTTTGTCAGGGATGTCAAGTGACCACAGGATTGACTGTTACCTAAGAGAGACTGAAATAGTCATGGCAGCCATGTGAGATGTCATCGGGGCAGAAGATGTATTAGTTGCACGTATTTGTAAATGTTTAGAAAAATGTCTGGAGGGATGAACATTCAACTGTTCATAGGTGTTACCTCTTGGAGGTAGAATTAAAGATATAGGAAATGGGGATGCTGAAATATTTTACTCCAATGCTTCTACTCCAAAATGGTGTTGTTTAACTAACCTTTCTTTTTAAAATGTGCACTTTCAAATTCAGATAAATATTAAGTTCTTATGCATGCATATATTTATTTAAATGAACAAAATACTGGTGCATACATATTGTGTGTGTGTATGTGCGTGTGTGTGTGTGTGTGTGTGTGTGTGAATTTAGAAGTGAAGAGTTATATTTCTGGCATGTGTCATGAACATCAAAAGCTTTATTTATTAAAAAAAAATAATTGGTGTGCACAGTGCTGAAATCTCCAAGACAGCTACTTGTGTTAGTGACCTCTGCTCAAGCCACCGCTTCTGCTTTATATGTTGGAATCTGGTGTGTGCTGGAAGGAAGCACTGTGTCTTCTTTCACTATGAAATTCATGGAACCCTCCGCTTGAAATTACATAAAAGACCTTTATTATTCAACCTGTGCATTCATCTATGCAACCACATCTCCTTAGGGAAATGTTTGAAAATGGGATTTTTGTGGCCTTCTTTCCCATTTGACTTTCCTTCCCGCCCCCTCCCTTTTGGCCACCCTCATCCAGGTATCTATTAGTTATCTCTTTCAATAACACTGTTCCGGCTGCATCCAAAGTGCTTTTTAATGTAGGAGATGTACTTCAGGCATAACTCGAGGTCACTTTCTGAGTAACATTTTATGGGATTGATTAAACTTTACCACTATAACTGTTGACTTTACAGGCCAGAAAAGAGTCTTGAAGTGTTATGCTCTGGATAATTTGTACCTCACAATTTTGAAAAAATCAAATAGAGATAACAGTTTAATGTGTTTGAAAAAGAAGCTGTCAACTGCTCTTGAGTTCTTGTATTTAAAAGACCTCAACATTTAAAATGAAATAATCTTTTACACTAGTGAAGTTAAGTTACAGTAAATAACTATAT